TACTATTTTACATTTGCATTTAGTTTTGTAATTGTTGCTTATATTTGCAAATATTTCACTGCTTTCAGTGCTCAAACCAGTCATTTTACGGCTTCCTAATGCTAGAGCTAATTTTGCATTATTTTAAAAATCAGTCATCGCACCAGTTTTTGTATAAAAAGTGAATGGGAGGTATATTTTCTGAGATCTTTCTTAAGAATATCAATCTCCTTCACAAAACAAAAACCAAGTATTTTTTAAAAATAAAGAAAATTGGTCTAGTGTAGTATTTTTATGTTGTGAATCTATCCCTGAACAAAAACAACTCTATGGATCACACTCACTGTCTTCTGCCACTGAATATCAAAAGTCTGAGGGCGGTCTGTTTCTTTGAAGGTATTTTGTCTTTCTTTCCAAGTTTCTTATTGAAATTTTAATTAATTTTTCTCTAGAAATTTTCCAGCTTATGTCAAGGTAGATGACAGTCTCTATTTCAAAAATGGGTCACCATATTGTAGGGGGAAAAAAAATCTTTTCAGCCCAGGAATATTATCTTTAACTGTCGTTCCTGTATTCTTTTAAAAGGTTTGTTTGTTTTTAATTGGAAGACTTACTAGCTAAATGTTAGTGTTTGGATTTTTATTTTCTATATTTTCTTATTTATTATATAATGTGTTCTTTTTCCTCTTCCTTCTCAGAGCTTCTCAAGTTTTTCTTCTATATTACTGATTTTTTTTTTTCAGTATCTAATTTTACGTGACTCTCTGTTTCAGAGAAGTCTTTATCCCAATAATAGGGAAATTCTGCTGTACTCCGAAGAGAACATATAACAAAGCTTAACGTTATCATCTCAACTTTGTAGCCTTTTAGGTACCTGGCTAGAATGTTGTCATGGTTTATTTTAGGTGTCAACTTGACTGGATTAAGCAATACCTAGAGAACTGGTAAAGAATTATTTCTGGATGTGTCTGTGTGGATGTTTCCAGTGAAGACTGGTGTTCAAGTCAGTGGACCGAGTGGGGAAGATCCACCTTCAATGTGGGTGGGCACCATCCATTGGCTGGCCGTCCAGAGAGAACAAAAAGGCAGAGGAAAGGTGAATTTGCACACTCTCTCCTGGAGCCAGGACACCCTTCTTCTCCTGTTCTTGGACATCAGAGCTCCAGTTTCTCCAGCCTTTGGACTCTGAGATTTGCACCAGTGGACCCCAGGTTCTCGAGCTTTTGGCTTCAACTGAATTACACCATCAGCTTCCCTGATTCTGAGGTTTTAGGACTTAGACTGAGCCAAACTACCAGTATCCTTGGTTCTCCAGCTTGCAGATAGCCTGTTGTGGGACTTCTCAGCCTCCATAGTCATGTGAGCCAATTACCATAATAAATCCTCTCTCATCTATCTATCTATCTGTCTATCAGTCTGTCTGTCTATATATCTATCCATATATCATCTATATCCTATTGTTTCTCTCTGGAGAACCCTGACTAATATAAATGTAATATAATATATAGCTATTTGAGGAGAGACCAGTATTTTCCAAATTTCCACTAAACTAGCAACAAAGACACAAAAGAACCCAATTCATCTCACTGAAAACCTTAATGTATCCTCAATGATAGAATTTGGGAAGACTTGCCAATAACCAGAACTGTTGGCTAGACTTAGAAAAAAATCTTCAGGTACCACTTGGGAGAATAGTAGAAAGACAGTTTATATATTCTGTTTCGTGACTTAAAATACACAGGGTCTATAAAATCCTGAAGACCAGGTAGCTAGTAAAAATTATCTTGGAAGGAGAAACAAAGATTCTGAAAGTAGACCTTCAGTTGGCTGAAGAAAAACTATTCTATTTTCTGTAGGACCTTCTGACAATTTGGCCTAGGCTTTGAGTCCTAAAGATTCCTGGAGCATTCCTGGTGGCATGGGATAAATTAGCCCTGCCATGCAAGCCAAGTGACAGCCTTGTGACTGTTCACTCTTATAATAGTAGTTATTTTGTATGATGTCTCTTCTCTTATTACTAAAATCTCTGTAAAGTCATGATAAAACATATATCTGCAGTTCTGTTGTGCTGTGCAGAGTTAGGCAATAGATGTGCCACACATATGGAAGGGAGTGAGAAAGGGGAGAGCAGCGACCTCTTCCCCAGGTCCTGAGTGGAGGTAGTGGTGGTTCTCCCATGTGGAAGGCAGCTGTGATCTTATGAAGAGGACCAACATAGAGGAAGCAGTGTGGGGGCAAGAGGAGGAACCAGAACCCGAGGAACCTATTCCTGGCCTATGTGAGAAAGCACCTTGGAGAACTCTCAGAGCAAAAAACGCTTGAAATAATTTCCAGCTATAAACCATGGCTTGAAGCCATGGCAATTTAGCTATTAAAGTAAACGTGACCTTAACTTGTAGTCAAAATCTGGTGAGGCCGGAATATTTGACTTGCATGTAAATGGTAGTTCTAAAAGTGCCCAAGGCCAAAACCTTTTCTTCCCTGAACTGTGTAAGAATTTTAGATATTCTTCCTTATTAATCTCTTTAGCAAAACTTTTCCTTCATAAATAATGCAGTGGTAAACCAGTCCATGCCTGAGTTGAAGGATGACAATTTCTAAATTTGTGAAGTCCTACAATAATGAAAAAAATATGTAGGGAGAGTGAGAATGTGCATGTAAACCTCAGTGAGCATAGCGTTGGAAATGTTATGAATTATTGGGATGTTCTTCCTAAATCAGTTTATAACAGTATGAGAGAAGTTAAAGCCATAGAATGTTTGCTTTATTTTTCTATTAATGTCACTTACATGTATTTATACTTTGTACATATGACAAATAAAGCAAGATTTAGTATTGAGATTGCTGGATTGGAAGCATGGAGACAGCTGTCACTGACTAAATATATAAGCATGGGCAAGTCACTTAACATCTCCTGGTCACAGTTCTTTCAGCTGTAAAAATGAGAGTTGAACAGGGTTGCTTGTAAGGCCCCTTCCAGCTTTAATATTTTATGGTTAAAATAGAAACTAAGACAAATAAATGCCTGTTTTCAGAAAGATCAATTAGGTTGAGTCCAAAGGCACAAACCATATCTTAGATTCACATTTCCTAAGGAGCATCATATACTTTCTTAAAAATTGTAAGTAGTTAAGAAAATATCTGTTGATTATATTTAAATTTTTTATGTGATTGGTTTCTCAAACAAGTAGACGGACTGAGTTATTTCAAAGGCCCTTCCAGCTCTACTGTTCTAAGCTTAAAATACAAATTAAGCCAAATAGATAGTGTAGTTAGATCAATGAGACTTTAAATCCAAGGACAGAAGTTTTGTCTTTGATCTAGTATTCCCTTCAAAGCCTCATATTTTCTTCCATAGCAGGTGACCAAGGAACTATCTCTGGATTATAGTTATTTTATTTGCTTGGTTTTTCCAGTAACTTTTTCCATATTATAACATTAATGAATTATTTTCAAAACTCATTAATCAAAATGTCTCTCCATTTCTTAGTACCTAAATCTATCTTTTATAAAAACAAGGGCCGGCCCCGTGGCTCTGTTGGGAGAGTGCAGTGCTGGTGGCGCTGAGGCCGTGGGTTTGGGTCCTATATAGGGATGGCCGGTGTGGTGCACTCACTGGCTGAGCGTGGTGCAGACCACACTGTGCAGAGGGTTGCGATCCCCTTACCGGTCAAAAATAAATAAATAAATAACAAAGCCTCATATTTTCTTCCATAGCAGGTGACCAAGGAACTATCTCTGGATTATAGTTATTTTATTTGCTTGGTTTTTCCAGTAAATTTTTCCATATTATAACATTAATGAATTATTTTCAAAACTCATTAATCAAAATGTCTCTCCATTTCTTAGTACCTAAATCTATCTTTTATAAAAACAAGGGCCGGCCCCGTGGCTCTGTTGGGAGACTGCAGTGCTGGTGGCGCTGAGGCCGTGGGTTTGGGTCCTATATAGGGATGGCTGGGCAGACCACACTGTGCAGAGGGTTGCGATCCCCTTACCGGTCAAAAATAAATAAATAAATAAAATAAATAAAAACAAGTAAACAAATGGGAAATGGGTATCTGAGTGAAATATTCTGTTTCTTAGTTTTCCTCAATGTGACTTTTAATGAGTTTTTCCATACTTTAGATTCTAAATTTAATGAAGAATAAAAGTTAAAAGCCTAGTAGTAATCCTGTTTCATTTACACTAGTTGTCTCAAGTATGTTTTCTTTCTTTCTTTCTTTCTTTCTTTCTTTCTTTCTTTCTTTCTTTCTTTCTTT